AGTTTCACCGGCATTGCTTGCGGAGTACGGTGCATGTGATTAGAGGGCATGTAGGTTGTAATTTGTTTTACATATGAGTCTAAAATTTGTTTATTTCTGAATATTGAGAAATTTTACTTTTGTATTTATAAATTATTTTATGATTTTATATATTTTAACAAAAAATTTAATTTTTCCTGGATTTTTACAGTGGGTCGCTCTAGTGGCCTTAATGTGACACCCCGGATTGGATCGGGCCACCTGCATCGGTCTGAGGGGGTTACAAAAATATTTCACCCTTTACCATTTTCTCCATGCAACTTTCCAAATATTGCAATCTTGCAGTTTAATATAACAGTCCAAATTTAACATGGAATCAAATCATTAAATCCAATGGTTTATATTATTTTCCATCATTTAAAAATGTATAAATAATATTTTCAATTATAATTTATAATCCTTCAAATTTTCTCAAAATTTTTATTCGATCTGATTTATTAAATTTTCACTAAACTTTAACATTTTCTAGTTTTTAACATAAATTTCGGATCAAGAATATGATTTCAATAAAATTCACTCTCAAAATTAAACTATTTATTTATGAAATAAAAAGTATTTTTGGGAAAATTATCATTTAAGTCCCTAAACTTTTCATACTTTTATACTTTAGCCACTAAACTTTCAAAACTTACATTTTGGTCACTAACCAAAATTGGGGTATTACATCCAACTTATTCTAGAATCAACTATATTGAATGATCTTCCAAAGTCTCTAGTTTCATAAGTACTACCTCTTTCAAGTTCATTAACTAAATCTTAATCAGTTCTTACTCTTCGACGTTGCATTTCTTCCAATTCAATTTTGGACCTTATATTTTCTTGTATTGCGATAGTTAATTCCTCATCATCAAAACCATTATCACCATAATTTTCATGATCTTATGGTCTTATTCTTTCCTCTAATTCTTCTTTTCTTTTCTACTTCAAAGCTTTTCCTTTATGATATACCTTAAGTTGTTGAGCAATATTTGTCTAACTTCAACCCAGACATTTTGATTAGGTTCTACATTTTCTTTTTTTGAAGCCAAATGTTCTTTCAATCTTGGTATTCCTTCTTTAATAATTTTATCACAAAACTTACATCTGACATTATTATGATGGACTTCAACAGCATCTCTCCACATTCAACCGTAATCATCACTATGAATTTCACCTTTTTTATTTATCGATTGTGACATTTTTTTCTTATAGCTTCACAGAAACGAATTATTGTTCGTTATATGAGATCAAAAAAGTTAATTAAGTATTCAAAAATAAAATCATAATTATAAAACTTAAAACTAACATAAAACAGATTTAAAAAATAAAAAAGAAAAGAAAAGAAAATAATAAGACTTATAATTAACAACATAAAATAATTCACAAAAATACTCAATAATTAAGTTAGTAATCAAAGGTCTCTAGTCCTATTTTATCTTTTATTTAGTTATTTCTATTTTAACTAATAATACAAAGGATTCACACACAAAAATTATAACTAAAAAAATTTTAAAAATAAAAAATATTTAGATAAAAAAATTTGAATGTAACTATTTATTAATTAAATATTTAAAATAATAATCTCATAATAATTTTATAATAATCCTAATTCAACTAGTAAGATACCTTTAATTTTTAAACTAGGTAATAAACAAAATAATAATAATATAATTTATTTATATTTTTCATTTCAATGTTGAATTGAGATAAACTAGTCTTGAAGCCGAAATGAAAAGAAAAAAAACGATCTCTTGAAATGAGGAAGAAGAAAATTGAAATTTTTTGAAGAAATTATCTCTTAAAATTGTTAAAAAAAATTGAGAATCGTGGAAAAAATTATATAAAAAGTTTGAAATTCAAATTTTTATCTCTTCCTCTCCTTGATTTTTTATTATGATTTTATTTAATCTTTTAATTTTGAAATTCATTTTTTTAAATATCTTTTACCACTTACAAACAAAATATCTACTATTTGCTTTAGCTTTTGGTTACCTACTTCTATCAATTTTTTCTTTAATCAAATGTATTTGTCCAAGAATTGATTCTCTTTTTTACTTTATTTTTTTTTTTTTTTTGAAATAGGGTACTTTGTATTAAGAAATGTTACAAAGTACACCACCTCAATGACCTCATTAAAAAACTTCTCTAATCCTAAATGAAGGAAAATGAGTGTACCTTGAGGTGGTAAGTATGAAAGGCACAAATTTGTAACATCACATAAACCAAACCCCAGCCCTACTACAACCCCAAATCAATTCAAGAATAATACAACACAAACAACACATAAAATGAATTGAGAACTAAAACGCGATCGGACACCAACAGCAAACCAAAGGAACGAACCACCACATCAGACAGAACATCAACCGCACCTAGACCTTGAACGAAGGCTAGCATTGATTCTTGGAGTACCACACTTGCTGAAACTAACACTATCTGCCAACAGACACTGCCAAAGACTGAAGCATAATACCAGATATCAACAACTACACGAGACTACCCAACCAACCCAAATCATCAGGCAAAAACGAAAAGAAACCCATCAAGAATCATCACAATCAACAACAAAAGCTTCCTGAATAAAAAGGAGATCACTCGACAAACTAAGAGGCAAAGCTTGCAGTACTACTAGTGGAAACAACACCCAAATTGCAAAAGTTACCGCAAGACACATGCAAGTCTAATAAAACCCACTAAACCAATGCTCTCCTCCACCAACTGATAAAACAACCCATCCGACGACACTATGGGCATATCGAATAAACTATTATCCACAGCCCCCATATTCCCACAACTGGAGTTGCATACGGGTAACAACTTTACAAGGCACCATCTTGACTTTTCTTTTAAAGTATTACAATGAAACATTCTTCAATAAAATTTACCTCGATACCAGCATCTGCAATTGAACCCACCTGCAACCTAGGAGACATCTCGAAAGCAACTGCTGCTGAATTCGCCGGTCCAACATCGGTCGAAGAGCCAACAATGAATACACAAAGCAAAACACACACAGGAACGGACGGTGAACAGCATCTATAAGCAACACCACAAATCAAAAGGCTTGCCAAAGCAAACACAAGACAGCTAGCAACAACGACACACACTCAACCTCGGAAGAACTTCAAAGCACAAGAACAGCACCACCCACCATAGAACAGGCCACTAGGCAACCACACCCACCAAACAGAGAACGGAGAAATGAAGTAATCCACCAGAAAACAGTTTGTCAACCAAAAACACTCTAGCCACGGGAAAACAGACTAATAATAAAAATAAACTACTAAAAACCTTACACTAAAATACAAATTCTAAAACTACTCCAGCCCCTCTAAAAAACCACGACAAACATCCTCAAAGACCAAAGCCATAAACCACCACAACCTGACATTCACGCCCCAAAAACTCGTACTCGACTCCTCTTCTCTGAAATAAACACACTCGGAGCTTCACCTAAACAACTCACTTTTTGCCATAAACCTAACCAATGAAGAGTATATGAAGGAATAACCACAAATAACGCAACAGATTCCGACGAACAACCTGAAACACTCTCGCACATGTTGAAATAAATCAAGCGTGCAATAATAGACTGGTTCACTATGACATTTTCACAAACAGCTTGCATGCAGAAAAAACTATCGCACTCTGACTCCCGCAAATAAACTATTAACCCACGCAGAAACACAAAATTGTGAAACTAAAACATGCAAAACCATATCTGAAGCACGAAACAACACTCGAATAGGAACAGGGATAACATCACAGCTGGTAGAGAGAGAAACGATCTCACCAAGCAAGAAAAAAAGGCTCGAATAATCGAGTAGCAAGTTTGGAGACGGAAGCCAAACGGACCCTAACCAAAAACACCATGGCTAGGCCGACCAATCCCATATTCAAAGAACAAAAAGGAGATTCAGCGACACTGTGATGGCCTATTGAGATCTTGAGTGAAACGGTCAAGAGATAGCGTAAAGCAGCAAGGGCCCAGACAACGAAATAGCAAGATGAGAAACCAGGATCTTTTTTACTTTAGTTGTAACGTTATTTTGTTTACTTATTTTTTATATTATAAATTAGGTAAAATTTTACAGTTTTATAGTGAAGACCTAAAATACATATAATATTATAATGAAATATATGTAGTATTGCGAATACTAATATTGTAGAATAAGAGGAGACACCTTTCTTCCTTCTTCAAATTTGATTTAAAATATAGTATTATAAAGTGGATTTCTCTTTTATACAAAATTTCTATAATAATAAGTAAACATAGAATTACGATACTTAATGTTAATTTAAGAATTTATTTAAAATTAATTCAGTTAATTTTAACTATGAGATATGATTCAATAAACTAAAATTAATTTAATCTTAAAATAATTTAATTTTAAAATAACATAAATAAATAATTTAATTAATTAATTTTAAACATAAATATTACAGTATTAATAATGATATATATTTATAATCCATTTTTAAGGATTAAATAAAAATATTTCATGTATGTAATTTTATATTTCAAATAATTTAAAATTTGTTACGGTATTACGACGTAATTTATAGCATGTTGTGGTATTACATAATGGTTTTAGACGGTAAAAGTTGTGATGCGATTTCCTTGTAGTGTTGCCCTGATATTGTGTCATGACAACCTTTAAGATTGTTATGGTACGAACTTTACGCTACGTTACACTCGTAATTTAATACTATAATATTAATTATTAAATTTATTAAAAAATTTAAATTATATTTTAATTAATAAAATATATAAATTTTTATGATTAAAATTATTATTGTATAATATTATCATCTCCGTTAAGTTAAAATTTGGCGATAATATTAGTGGCAAAATTTTAAAAAAAATAGTTTGATTATCAAATAAAAAAACCAGTTATAGTTGCATGACTAAAAGTGTAGTTTATCAACAAACTAACAACTAACAAAACACGAGACGGAATCTAGCTGTCCGAAGGATGCTTTGCTATGTATTTGTTGAGTTTTGCGGTTCCGCACCCAAAAAAAAAAAGTTCAATTAAATTCTCCTCCTTTACTCTTCCTTTTATGAACAGTTGAAGAGTAAAACTTTTATACTATTTTAACTAAAATCCCCAACTTCCACCAACAATTTTCCTCTATCTGATCTAAATCTTTCGATTTTCTCTTCTCTTCCTGATCTAATCTTTGCCTGCAAAATTTGTGGAAGATGAGTGAGGTTTTCGAAGGTTATGAGCGACAGTACTGCGAACTCTCCGCCAATCTTTCCCGGAAATGCAATTCTGTTTCTGTTATTCATGACTCAGGTATTTATTTTCCATCAATGGATCGATCCATTTCTACTCTTTTAATATATTCTTTTATGGTGTGATAACCGTTTGCAGAGCAGAAGAAACAGAATCTTTCCGAGATAAGTTCTGGGATTGACGAGGCTGATGTCCTGGTACTATGTTGTCTAATTATTATTTTTTTCTGGGTTGTTGTTTGATATTGATTTGGGTTTTCTTTTTTTATTGGTAGATTCGGAAAATGGACCTGGAAGCGAGGAGTTTGCAACCAGGGGTTAAGGCAACTCTTCTTGCTAAATTAAGGGAATATAAAGCTGATCTGAATAAATTGAAGAAGGAATTCAAGAGAATTTCTTCACCCAACGCTCATGATGAATTGTTGGAATCGGGAATGGCTGATATGCACTCGGTAATTTCTGGGTCTTTTATTCTATGTTTTCGCCTTTTTGTGGTTCGCTTCGCTAGATCACTTGTTAAAGGATGTTTGAGGAATGATCATTTGTTTTATTACTCTATGCATCTACTTACTATTCTTGTTGCATCATGACTACTGCAATAGGATTCGGGTGAGTGTGTGATATGAGTATGTGTATGGCACGGGTATGTTTAATCCTTTTTTAAGTCTTTGCATCTATTCGGAGGCCTTTGAAGGGTTGTATTCCCATTCTTATATCATTTCCGGAAATGAACAGTCGAGGAATGTATCTTAACGATTCTCTGGTAATTCTAAGTTGGGGGAGATAAGGTGACCCTTTGTGTAACTATAACGTCATTTAGTATTTCGTTATGATTTTGAAGGGCTGCTGGCTTTGGGAAGTTGGGTGAAGTGGAATCCGATAAATATAAGACGTATTTGTTTATAGTTTGGAATTAGGAATTATGAGAATTGTTCATGCCTTCTAATTTCAAAATGTTTTCACATTATCCATGCTTGTTGTATGTGTTACTTGGCTCAGATGTTGAGTATCGGAAATGGGAATGTTTCAACATGGATATGTATTTTTTTTTTCCTTTTACGTTATTACATATGGTTGGAGGATCATATCACCCTTCCCATGTCCAAATATATATTGGAACCAAATATCAAACATAGTGCTTTAAGAAAAACGAGCATCATAGTCTCTGTTCTTACTTTTGATCGTCTGCCGTTTGTCAAAGCTTCACTATCACCTGTGATGACTGCTAAACATGTTTTATGTTTATATTGAATAAAACAAACAAACAACCCCGAAACAACAAGACAACTCCGGTATATGGGGATTGACTTGGTAATTCAAAGTTGTAGAACCTCCTTACAATTAAGCCAAGGTCTTAATGCATGCACGATTATTGTTAACTATTTAGCAACTTGGTGAAGATCTTTGTATTGAATTGTGACCAATGGTACAGGTTTCAGCTGAGCAAAGGGATCGATTGTCGATGTCGGTGGAGAGACTAAATCAGTCAAGTGACAGAATTAAGGAAAGTAGAAGAACTGTTCTGGAAACAGAGGAGCTTGGTATCTCTATCCTTGAAGATTTGCATCAACAGCGACAAACTCTCCTGCATGCCCATAACAAGGTCTTGTTTCTCATCCAAATGCTTGTGCTTATTTCTCCAACTTAACTTCGATAACATATCTATCTTTATCACTGAATCTTTATTTCTCTAGTCTCATTTTTGGGTTGGTGACATATTTAGCTAGTTTCGCATACATAATGGAGTTCTCATAGAGATGCAATGAGTTGGGGTTGGTGGATTTTCGCTCATCCCACTCTTGACCCAACATTCAAATATTCCACCTGATACCTATTCTGAACTTGAACTTGAACTTGCGTTCTAGCATCTAAATCCGACCCTGAAAAACGTAATCCTGAGACCCTGAACTAACTAAACCAAAAGCATGCGATTAAGTCTAGTTAAAACTTTGATGCATAGTGTTATTTTATCAGTGAATCTTCTCATGCATAATTAAATTTTATAGGGATGGCTACTGGTTGGGTTGGATGGAATTTCACCCGTCCCGCCTCTCAATTACATTAAAATAGTTCACCCGATAACTGTGCCAAACCCCGACTCTAATAATAAAAAATCTCTCCAGCCCTTAACCATCGCCATGAAATTTAGGTTCATTCCTAAAAGTACAGATACAAAACCAAATACATGAGATGACGTCTATTAAAAACTAAAAAAATCCTAGTTAAAATGTATAAAAAATAGTAATTATAAGTAGTCAGGGTGGGATAGTGATATGATCCCTGGCTTGGTTCAACGACCTGCTCCTCGATATGTGATTTCTGCCTGCTTGAAAAATTCCCGAAGGAGAGGAGGGGTCGAGTTGAAATCTGTCTGATTCGAGCCATTTTACCAACTCTCTCTCAGTAAGTCATATTTGTTCATATTACTTGTGCTTTTTCAGCTTTATGATGTGGATAGCGCCATTGACAAGAGCAAGAAAGTTTTAACAACCATGTCACGAAGGATTACCAAGAACAAATGGATTGCTGGCTCAGTCATCGTAGCTCTCGTCATTGCAATCATCGTAATCTTTTATTACAAGATTTCACATCGCTGATAAATCATTTGAACCATCGTTCTGCAATTTGTATATGTTAATCCAGGCATTCGCTTCTTCCACATTTATGTAATGTTTTGACACTTTGAACCGGTTATTGTATTACGTATATGTTCTCTTTCTGTTTGTGTTTGTTTCATGTAAATACATCAGCTGAAACTCTTGGTTACGTTCCTATTTCAGTCTCTGAATGGATACATCTAGTCAAAACTGACTTCGATGTTGCCCCTAACAATTTCGAGGGTTAAATTAATGCGAAAAAAATCGTAAGGGAGGAAATGAATCTTAAGGTTTAAAAGGGTTTTTTTTTTTATATTCATAAGGTTTAAGTTAATAAAACAAGTAAGGGATATTCTTCGAATCAGTCATTTCATACAAATTTTATTGATATGCTTCTGGTAAAAAGCTCTCCGTAACTATGGCATCATACTGAAATAAAAAAAAATGAAATAAGTTTCATAAACCTTAATATTTTAAAACTCAATGGTTGAAGTTTTATGTTATTAAGTGAACCATAGTTGACCTGGCTTTATGTATGGGTAATAGATATGTCCACAATCCAAGTAATGAACATTGAAACATTCTTAAAAGCATTTAAGTGCCTTCAAGATTAGTGGCTTGGGTAAATGATGAGATAAGTACTGTCTTATTTTAAGAGGAGCAACTATTTTTTAATAATCTACGAAACTAGATATGTATTGTTTACTTTACAATGGAGTCTCTTATTTTAGCTTAACAAGAAGTCGAGTGACTTAAAGCTTTATTTGTTGAGACTCTATCATATATAACCTTTTGTAAGGTATGGCTCATAAATATAACGGTAAATAGGACAAGGGATGGAGCGGAACGTCGTTAGAATTTCTATTATAAATTCGTTCACTTGTTAAGAAAAAAATTACTCATCTCACTATATATTAGTTTCAGAAACGTTACTACTTAATCAACTAATTATATTATTATTCTTTTCTCATCTTCCAAAATTTTTATTTTTTTCATTAGTGGGATATTGTGCAACACCCCGAATTCAATATTTACTCAACTTCTAGTTCACGAATACCACATTTAATCACTAAAGTACTCATAGACTTTGAAAATCATGATTTACTCAAAATTTAATCACTAAAGTACTCATAGACTTTGAAAATCATGATTTACTCGAAAATTTTAAATCATTCTATATGGAAAATGTGAAAAACACAACTTGCGACAACTTTTATCTTTATTTTACACCCTAAAGCACATGTTTTTTTCCTCTTCCCTCGTTGTTTTTTCTTCTAGAAGAGCAATGTCAATTCACTTTCATTTTCTTCAGTTGAGTATATGAATATGGAAACATTGTGCTAATCTTAAATATTCATTTTACAATTAAACGATTGGGACGAAATTATTTATAAGATAATGTTTTTAATATGACGTAATAAGTTTAATTATTTTTAATTCATTATAGTCATTGTTTTAGTATAATATATGATAAATACATAAAATATATATTTTAAAATAAGTCAATAAATAAATTTAAAATTAATCAAATCAATCAATATTAAATCAAGGGTAAATTATAGAATTGATCACTTTTATTTAAATTATGTACATTTTTTCTTACTGAATTAAAAAATTATAATATTTGGTTGTTTTCGTTTTTATTTAACTAAGATGTGGTCATTGTGGGTTAACAACATATTGCTGACATGACACATTAAATATATAAAAATAAAAAGAATAAATTACATAAATAGTCACTAATATTTAAACAAGTTTTTGTTTTCATCACTAAAATATATAAAATCGGGTTTTAGTTTTGGGGTTGGAACCAAATGTGGTCTCTTTGAACACTCTTTTCATTGGCTACTCTTAAGTGAGGAAGGCCACATCATGATTTTAGAGTGTTCATGAATGACAAAAATTTCTTGCCTGATAGCATTAGTTACAACACCTAAATTGAATGGGCTTTTGAACTGGAGAAAAATAAGGGCATTAAATTCAAACGAAATGGTGGGAATTGGTTTTGAAGTGGAAGGGAAGATGATGAGCAGTTTGTTTAGAGGTTTACGCATGAAGTTATGGGAAGAAAATTACATGGTTCAAGATGCATACCAAGTATTCGAGAGAATGCGAGAACTGGTTTTCTGTGATTGATCATATTGGTTATAGCTTTGTGATTCGAACACTTTGTATGGGAAGGAGAACAGGGGAGGCTGTGTACCATTTGCAGCAAATGATCCGAATGGGATACGTTCCAAGGATGATTCAAGCGTTTTGTTTAGCGTTGTATATGAAGGGGAAGATTGGTGAGGCATTGGTGGTGTTGGTTACCATGTATGGAAATGGAACATCCTATGACATGTTGGTTAAGGAGTTGAATCAACAAGGATTGTTGTTGGGTGCCTGTAATGTCTACGGTGCTGCTTTGGAGCAGGAGTAGTTCAATTGGCATGTTGGTTTTATATATTTTAGTGAGGAAAACATTAACTTATTTAAATATTTGTGATTATTTATGTAATTTATTCTTTTTGATTTTATGTATTCATTGAATTATGTTAATAATCCGTTAAAGATTTAACTACAATTAATTTTTAGTGACTATATATTAATTAAATAAAAATAAAAACAATCTATTATAATTTTTGAATTTGGCGAAAAAACCGTATAAAACATAGACGAAAGCCCCCTTAAATCAATAAGATTAATGTTGGAAGTTATCGCTTAAGTTGATTAAATTACAAAAATTAATCGAAAAAATGAATGTTGACCCAAATTCTGAAGGTCTACTCACCTAGTCCTGTAGACACTATATATAGTAAATAAGTATAAAATAATAGCAAACATATAAAAAGTTTTGAGGGTATACATATATATTATAATATCAATAATATAATGTCTTTACATGTATAGCTTGAATAAATTTTTAAAGTAGACATTATTAATAAATAAAATAAAGTTTAACCTAAATATGAAAATTATTTTTAAATTTTATAAAAACTAAATTAAATCCGATGTATATTTGTATTTTAAGATTTTTAGAAATAAATTTTAGGGTAAAGTACATAAATAGTCCCTGAACTTTTAGAGCACTTGCATTTTGGTCATTCAACTTTTGAAACTTGCAATACAATTATCGAATTTTTAGTTCGTTTTATTTATGTCCACCTTCCGTTAATTTTTATTGACGTGATAGTTAACCCTCCGTTAATTTTCTTCTTTGCTGACATGGCAGTTAACCCTGCTTCTTCTTCTTCGGCTCCTCCTCTCACACACATTTCCCAGCCACTGCACTGAATGCAAAGAGGGTACGTGAACTTGTTATGTTCATCCTTCTCCGCTAGGTTCACAAGCAAACCCAGTATTACTACAAGGAAATCAAACTCGGGATCGGTAAGAGGTCTGTGGAGTTCTGTACTAAGACAAGTCACTTCCATTTCACTGTTGTGGGGCAAATATGAGCAAAATGTAGGGTAGTGGCATACAATTAACGTAGACAAGATCTTTAGGGCCCCCGAAGCAGCAATTTGCCGACAACCGAGTGGGCTGTCATTTGCCACAGCAAAGCCGGTTTATGCAGTCCATTAAACAAAGATCATCAATTCTATTAAAAGGATTCATGAAGCAGATTAACGAAAATAGGTAACTTTCTGCCTCACTGTAATATGCATATTATAACACTTTGAAGCCAAAAACAGGCACTGCAAAGGTAGGATAAATCCCGAGCGGGAATGTGCACCTTGATAAATTTATCCCTAAAAGATTTTTGAATTTGAAGGGTTTTTAGATGAGTGATGCTCCTATTAAAGAATCCTTCATCTCCATTATTGTCTTTTAAACAAAAAAAAATTTGAGAAATAAAGGAAGCTTTTATCAAGTCATGTGATGGGGAGTAGGGAGATATGAAAGGGAAGAAATATAAATAGGCTCGGAGGCGACACCGGTGAAGATGGTGATGGTGATGTGAACCACCGTTGATCAGAGGTTGGGTGAACGGAAGTTTTTTTTACGTATGTGAGAACAAGAAGAAGAAAGTTATCTTCCATGTCAGCAAAAACTAACGGAAAATAACGACAGGGATAAAAATGAAAATGAACTAAAAATTGATAATTATATTGCAAGTTTCAAAAGTCAGGTGTCCAAAACACAAGTTCTCTAAACGTTCGGAGACTACTTGTATACTTTACCCTAAATTTTAAAATTAATTTAAAAAAATATATGTTAAAGTCAAAAGTCTGAACGTGTCGGACTCCAAAAAGAAAAACACTCAAACTACGTATAGAAAAGTCTAATTTTGTTTTTACCCTCTACTACACTCAATTACGAAATTTAACTCTCTTATTTTAGTTAAAAAGATTTTAATCATCTTTTATAATTTTATCTGTAAATCCATATTGATAAGAACATTAGAAATGAAGACCTATTTTCTTAATACAATGTTAAGCATTTAGCTTATATGTAATTTTATTGTTAATCAAAGATAATTGATTAAATATTTTTATGTTCTTAACTATGTGATTAAATAATGGATATATATATTTGCGGCAGAATTCAATGGATGAACCTAATAATATCATTAAAGTTGAATGATTAAATTATGTTTATAATTAAAGTATAAGGATCAAATTATACATTTTATTAGTAGAGGGACTAAAACAAATATAGTCCTAAAAAAAGACAGTAAATATGCCGACGCCAACGCGGCCTCACGCGCTCACTCACCGACAGCCCCTCCTTCGAAGTAGTAGACGTCTCCTACAATTAATGTCCCAAACGCATTGAATTTTTGTGATCTTTACGAAATTCGATAATTATAAATAAAATAATAATAACAAAATAAATATTTTTCACTTCATCAACAACAACAGAACAGATCTTGGACTATGAGCTCAGACGCAAACGGCGGAGAGTCGCCGGCGCAGTGATCGAGTGGGAAAGCTACCTCGACATCGGCGGTGGACAAGCAAAAGGAGAAGGCGAGAGTCAGTAGGACATCGCAGATCCTATGGCACGCTCATCAGAACGATGCCGGCGCTGTCCGTAAGCTTCTCGAGGAAGATCAGTCTCTGGTTCACGCTAGGGACTATGATAACCATACTCCTCTCCACGTCGCTTCACTCCAGGGTTGGATCGGCGTCGCCAA